TAGAACCCCTCATTTATGTACGGGACGGGCCCAAAGGTGTTCGTAAAAATCATTCGTACGTAAAATCGGGGTTGTATGAAATTCCTATGTATTTACACTACCGATATGCTAGGCTGGGCTGGGCTAGGCCTGGACTTAAATTTTGTTGGACTGGAGCCAAAACTCCAAATTGTGCTCGAAAGAAATTCAAAATAACGATCATAATAATGTACAGTACTATCCATACTTGTTAATGTGTATAGAAACTTTATTCTCTCTTTCTCAGGCAATAATATGACTTATCTTCTAGCTTACGAAGAAACACAGCCCAGCGGGCACCGCAACAGGGCGAGTAACCAACGTTTTTCACTCGATCCATGTGGTTGTGTCGTCATGTAAATACCCTGTACATAATAACCCGGAAACCAGGGGTTCTCAACTTTTTAAAAGAAGAGCGCTGATTGACTGTAGACACGGCGCTTGGACTTTTTTTTTTGTATGCAATACGATTGTTCTACGCCTGTTATATATAAAGTTATAAAAAGAAAATGTGGGTGTCAGTGTCTTATTTTATGGGGGAAATAATGAAATGGTAGATTAACGTTAGTTAGATTTGATAAATAAATTCCATTCATAATTAGGGGGTTCATTAAATTACGATATGAGGGTGGTGTATTCTGAGATGAATAAATCATGCGCCTATCGATATGCCGACAAGTTACGCATTGGGCAGAGTTTCTCACGGCTGCAGACATAAAGTATGATCGTCGTGTTGAATGTCGGTGTATTCAAAACACACTATCTGTAGTAGAGATCGCTGATAGTGTACAGCAAACCGTCTAAGACCGAGTGAATAAACTCTAGCCCGCGCCTAACGATTAATTCTTGACACGGGTGTTTGTTTTGTTCATGAAATAGGAACTTTATTTATGACAACTATTACATGATTTTACGTTCGTAAAATCGGGAATTCGTAAAATCGGGGTTCGTAAATGAGGGGTTGTACTGTAATTGAACTTACTTCTACAATAAACCAATACTAAATCTATACAGCACTTATACACAGTTTGATGGCTTTAAATAGAGTGTCATATCTTCCTTCTATGTACATCAAGGAGTGATACAACTATGACGGGTTGTAGGACCTACCTTGCTTTACCGAGGCTATTTTTTGCTTTATCCATATTTTGCTGACTGATCAACTGCCCAGTTTCTTTAAGAATTTGTATGATTTCTGTTGCTGTAAGAAAAAAAAATAGATTATTTGGGACCTTCAAGACATACATAGCAAAACAAGAGAACAAAAAAAAAAAAGTTGGATTAAACATTTAAAAAATATATACAAATTAAAATCAAACCATGATATGAAAATGGTATTAAATGCTTCTGATTATTTAATAAATCATTTTTAAAGATACTCGCGAAAGGCTGCCTTCGGCTGTGAGGTACTAGGGTTGGTGCAGATTATTTGCAAGATGAATGAAATAAGTGTAAATGACTTGGAGAACCATCTTTTGTCTTGTCACCTTTCTTCAATCTTTTGAACGATTTAAAAGCCAACAATAATACTAGCCTGAACATTATTCTCATGAATGACCCTCCCCAACTCCTAAAGAAAAAAAAAAGCTGTTGACTACACTTTTTTGCCAGCTAAAAAGCACTCTACAAGGGTGGATTTAGAGATGTCCGAAAAGGGTGCTGAAAGTGGGGCCGATGGAGATAACACCACCCAGGGGTCAGGGGGCATGCCGCGCGAAATGTTCGTTTTCTAGACACCCGAAAATAACCTCCGAGGCATTTTGGGCGATCCATTTTTCTTTCTTTTAACTTTCCAAAAGGGGGGGGCGGGGTGCGGGGCCAGTCCCCCTAAGTCCGCTCCTTCTTTAACATGTTAAGGATGGTGGGAGGACTGGACATCGACGACCAGCTTCCCCTATGGATCTGTTCAGAAAATAATCATTCTGCGAAGCCCAGTCGGCCAAGTGCTGCAAGTCTAATTTTAACTCTATTCCGCAAACCTTTATAACATTGAACAAAAACACAATTACATGACAGATATTCTAAAGCATTGAATACTGCTTCGTCTTTAACTGTAATTTTAGAAAAGCCATTGCAAATGGAAGTCAAATTACTTTTTAAATTAAGAACATGAGCCACTAATAATTTTGTTTATAATGTTAAAGCAGGTAAAGATACTATGCCTACTGGTAAAGAATATGGTAAAAATAGATTATACAATACATGCTAAAATGTGATGGATGTAGTCTGCAGACATTCCTTAATCGTCACATAGACTATTGACTTATTTTTGTGATTAACATGGTCACTTTATAATATATTTTATTTCATGATATTTAGTGAACATACACATGTTTATACCAGTCGCACTCACTGAAGTGGTACGCTACTACATACTGAATGCTCTTCTGGTTGTTTCACTGTACTGTTCTCACATGTGTGGCTTTTGTAGCGTGACAATTCCTCATCAAATATTTTGTAGATTCGTAAAATTGTTTTTTATGATATTTTAATAGACATAAACAGGAGCTTGAAATATGTTAGTAATAATAAGATATTTAAAAGAATGGTGCTACGATATATTTCTTCCAGAGCTGTGCTTGCGTCTGGACGGCAAATCGGCACAAACATAAGGCCTTACTCAATTTATACTATAAATACTATTAAAACATACTAGAAAGCAAAATTTTAAAATGCTAAAAAATTTAATTATTAGAATTAAACCCCAAACCTAAGTATTTAACCCATATTACTATTCCACATACCATTCAGATTAGGAATACGTCCTAAAAACTGCGCTTCTTTGTAAATCCTGTACCAATCCAAGAATCCAAACAGCAGTAATGCATCATTGCCATAGTAACATTTCTGTTTCCAATCTCTTGCAAAGAATAATACACTGAACAGTGACTGGAGGCCCGTCTCGTTGGTTGCCAGGATGACGGAAGCCTCGGAGAAGTCATTGAGCGTAGGGATGAGGATGGTTTCTGTTGTGGTAGCATGATTGATATAATAACGCCACTGGGCATCAAATACGTCAATACTGAGTCTGAAACAATTAAAATTAATATAAAAGAATCTTATTTACCATGTGAATCCTTATTTATTGTTAATCAGGTTATATTTACTTTTATTCAACACAATTAATGTTATTTGTCAAAAATATTTTCACATTTGATCATAATTACCCTGTTGAAGTGTCGTTTGCCCATTGCGCCATTTTCTTGAGTTCTCCTCCCCAACCTGCACACCCTCGATTATCAAACTGCGGGGATGCTGACCCCACCCACATGATACACTCCTTCTTCTTGAGACATTTGGAACCAAATTTGTTGATGGATTTCTGGAAAAAATACAAGAGAAACACCAAATGATAAGCCTTGAATATTTAATTATATTTCAATTAAATATAACTTTCTATTAGAAGATATCTTTAAAATAATGAAAATGAAAGAAATGAAGAAATTTAATTTACTTGGTACTGGTTAACATCCTCCAGTGAAGCATAATAATCCCATTCAGACATGTCAGGGGGAGTAGGTGTATTTCTTGGAGGCACCCATCCAAACGTTCCATTTAAGAGGTCGGCCCATTCTTCCCATTTCTTATCTGATGCAAAATTTAGGTAATTGCCAATCCAAATTGGTTTATCAATCCCTTCTTTTAAATCCAATGGCATGGACAATAATTCTGTTGAAAAGAAAGCAAAACATGTACAGCAGTCCAAAATACTACTTTTGGTTTAATAAGTATAGTTAATGGACCTTTACAGATTGTCAACTAGACTGACCAACTGACCAATCAGAAGAGGGCAGGAATAAGAGCATGTTCCACAAATACAAACATTTATGTCAAATAATAGCACCTAAGGGGTGGTGCTTAGTGGAATGGTCTATAATAGCATCTAAGGGGCGGTGCTTAGTGGATTGTATACATTAATGCACAAGTTTCTCCATTTATATTGACAAAGTTGATAAACTTCCCTCAATCATCATTTGTCATGTATGTAGAGAAGATAATCAACAAAGACTAGAGGTGAAATTATTAGTGCATGCAATGCAATGCCTTCTTACCTCGTAATATATCTGAAGTTATTCCTCCGCCGAAAAGATATATAACTGGATTTTTTTTGTGGAATACGGAAAATGATGGTCCTGCTTGAAATAAAGTATCCATCAAATACTGCAAGTTGTCATGAAATGTTTTCAAAATCTACAAAACATTTTTATAATATATTCTATAAAAAGATGTACTCAATGTTATATCAGTTACTACAGTAAATGTATGATATGGTATTTAAAGAAATGAAATTGAGATATAATTTAAAATAAGGCTTTAGAAAAAAAAAAATTTTTTGTTTGCTCTCCAGCGCTTGCTCCTAGATCACGGAAAAATAGGGGCGGCGTTTTTAGAAAAAACATTTTTTTTTGTTTTTAGAAAAAACTTTTTTTTTTTTTTTTTTTTTTGTTCACAAATTTTAAAAAGTGATCTTTGTTTTTCTACATTTTGCACATGAAAATTGTCTAAATTTGGTGTCTGATGTAAGGTATCGCCATTCTAGGCCTAAATTCATTGCAAAATATTGAGTTTAGGTTATTTTTATTCAGTTTGATGAATAACCTTTGAAAAACAGAGAGAGGCTTAAATGCAAGCATTGTGATTTAATATGTTAATTTGACAGGAGAAAAAAAACTAAAAAAAAAAAACTTTTTTCTACCCGCCCCTCCTATACGATTTTCAGCATTAAAGGGGAAAACAAAATTTATTTTTTAGGCCTAATTAATAACATAAACTTATCCTGAATACTTATTTTTATTATTATTAAAGTAGATTGTTGCCCAAGCACAGTAACATTTTGAAAGGGTTTGGTCTGGAATTTTAAAAGAAATTATAGGCTATAGGCCTAATTCTAGAGTTCACTGTTAACCATCCCTTACCCCATGCATTTTCGTTGGTAAAATGTCTAACATATAGGGCTATAAAATCCATGGTTGAGGTATAAACTTTCCAATATATTGTAAGTTTCATCCTATTATTCCAGGTCTGTAAAAGAAGGGTGGGGCTCATTATCTGAATACCAAACTTACCACTGTTCTTGATTGATTATTTATTGTTTCATATAGCCAGTGGTCACACCTAAGCATAAGATAAAATAAAGTTAAATCAAATAGGAACACACATAAAATTGTGTCAAACTATATCAGATTTGTTCTGAAGCTATATACCTAAACAAATGGAACAGATAAGTACAGTTTGTGCATTGTTTTGTTATTTCTAAATTTACCAAATTAAATGGGTAGGAGATTGAGAGGAAGGGTCAAACATACCAATTGACACCTAGTGTGAATGGCTGGTGCTTTCTTGCAAGAGACTGATAGCTTTGTAAAGCAACATCGCTAGGGTGTCCTTTGTACCCCTGCAAAAAATGGGTCTTAACGTTTATACACAAATACATAATTATCTTTGCACTTTTTAAAAAATTGTATTCATCTGATATCAGATATTACAATAAGATGAGCTCATATATGTGACTAAAATGTTCTACTTCTATCAGAGATGATGGTTGATTCATTATTTAATTAAAAGTATGCCTATGGGCAAGGGCCAGACATTAAAGGTATAGGGTACTTCTATTGGACAATGGTCAGAAAATTCCTTCTGAGCCACAGGGCTCATAGGGGATAGTTTTTATCCCCAGTTTCATGTAGCATGAAGCGGATGAGAGCTGATATTCCCCTGTCCATCAAAGGTTACTCCCAGCATTTGCTGGTAGTTGATAGAGCTGGGAGATTGAAGCAATGTAGGGGATAAAGTGCCTTGCTCAAAGACACAAAAACCGCTTTAAATAGTAACTACATGATAGCCTGACATTAATATGTTCATTAAACTTAGGCCCCAGTAGTATGATCGTTTGATATTTCAATATCCATTGCAAGTAGATTTTCTCTTAAACTGAATGATGGCCCCACATTAATATACTCATTAAACCTTAGCTTACTATATATCATGGCCGGTGGAACCGGGGGGCTCGGCCCCCCACTTTTTGGCAAAAAATATATAATCTGGAGATTTTTGTATGATCAGAAAGAAATGCAAGAAAAAAAGATTTTTGTATGATCGGAAATGCAAGAAAAGAAGGAAAAGAAGGATGGGAAAGAGAATGTTTATCCAGTCCCCGACCGAGTTACATTTTCTTGCAATTCACATTGGCGAATCATGGGTCCTGACCCCTCCCTTGGGCAACAAAAAAAAAAAAAGAAAAAATAATAATTCTAGACCTACCTTTTCAGGACTTGTGAGCTGATTTTTTTTTTTTTTTTTTTGTTACAATAAGAAAATTAGAATTTTGAAGAACATGAAAGTCATTAAAACACACTTCAAATGTCTGGAAAGCTCCTTTCCCGCCATCTAAGAATTAAAATTCCCGGGGGAGAACCCCCGGACCACCCCTTTTTTTTGGGGGGGGATTTATAAATTCATGGAAAAAAGAATATTCATGCAATTACTCATTTGTTTATACATGTATACACACATAAAATAAAAAATGATAAAAATTTGCCTGACCTTTTTCAAGAGGGGAAAACCTTGAATTTTGAAGAACTTAAAAGGTCACTTAAAAGACATTTCAGAAGTCAGGAAAGCTCATTTCCCACCATCTGGAAATCAAATTTTCCCAGGGGAACCCAGACCCATTTTTCTTTTTCAAGAGAGGAAAACCTTGAATTTTGAAGAACTTAAAAGAACCCCCGGACCCCCTTTTCTTTGGAGCCTATCAATTTGAAAAAAGAATAGGTATGCAACTACTCGTTTTTTTATGTATGTTTTTATGTTATGTACACACATAACAGGTCTATTTACTGTAATAAGAATGAGAAAGTTTACCTGAGCGTTTTCAAGAGGGGAAAACCTTAAATTTTGAAGAACAAAGTCATTAAACACCTAGCTCAAAAGTTGAGAAAAGTCATTTCCCGCCATTTAGAAATCAACATTTTCCCGGGTGAGGACCCCTGGATCCCCTTTCGTTTTTGAGAAAAATGTTGACCCCACCCCCTATATTTGATTCCAGATCTGCATGATTCATATTCCCATTCACCTTATAAGTGGGCCCCCCAACTTTGAAAAACGTTCCACCAGCCCTGTATATTGGATGATGCTATGACATTATATATTCATTGAGAGGAATACCTTCATTGGATCACAATTTTGACATTAATACAATGTATAAATTAAAAGTAGGACTGATTCAATTGGACGATGGTCCGACTTATTCAATAAACATAGCCTTATATTGATTAATAAATTAATTACAAAAGTAGACATATTTGTATTAGATGATGCACAGCCCGCCAATATTTTTTTTAACTTACCCACTCCACCAGAAATCCATCAATCCCAATAAGTTGAGCTTGTAACATCAGGTACTCCTAATGCAAAAAAGGTCATTAACATAAGTTGCATTGTTATTACCAAAATTTTATTTCAAAATATTCAACTGATATGGGACAATAATTAAAACAAACTTTCAAAATCAAAGAAATCAAAAAATTAAAAAAGTTATAGTACAAGGTTGTATATTGTATCTGCGTACCATCGAGTCCCTGTGGTCTAATGGAATGACACTCACCTTAAACAGTCAGATGTGATCTGGTTCAATTCCCAGTCCAGGGAATTTTTAAGACGATTGATTACTTGATAGGCTATATGCCCGAAACTATATACATCACATGTTCCTTATCCAAGAACTATTTCTACTGTTTACTATTTATATATACAAATCAATGTTAACAACTACCATATATATTCATTATTGGAGTAGAATTTAAATATTCCTTCAAGCAATCACCTGATATACTGGATCAAGGTCAGATGTCAGACCAAGAGTTGGATATAACGCAGAAGCTATATGTTTGTGATTTCCTTCCTCCACCAAATCTGCATTGAAAATGAATTCATGATTTTTTGCATGACTTTCTTTGGCAATCCTGTTGTAGGTGAAAGAAATTCATGAGATAAAATATGCTCCTGTTCAAATACAGAATATAGGCCTAATGCTCTTTGTGACTTTCCAGTTTTATCTGACAAAATCTGTTAATATTTTAATTATAGCTGTTTGAAATAAGAATTTACAAACACTGTTATTGATATTAAGTTACAATTTTTTTTTTATTAAATAGCATATTTACCCATGTAGTGACCACATTCCAAAACTCCCATCATGCTCTCTGGTCAGTTTGTTGCTGGTGACATCTGCAAAAATCTAAAGACCAAAATTAAAATAAACACTTTTTTGACGGTGTGTCCATCCATCTACCTCCTAGTTGCTTATGTACTGTCTCCTTTTTTTACCTACACCTCTGGAATCTAAGTCGTGTGCATGTCTATCCTTATTTCTATTTTTGCTACATGATTTTTAACTCTCTGTGTATACAGAGGCTACAGGGTTACAAATTACTCTAGGACGAGAGGTGTTTGCTCCGTAAAAATGTACTGAAATACTGAAAGGATAAAAAACCCAGTATAAGCAACACACCTTTCTGTGGATCTTTTGGGACTGTCCATTTCCTGCATTCAGCCACACAAGTAGTATTTGAAGTGAGAACAGTAGTTGTTTCTTTGAAAATCTCATGTTTTTGTTTTCATAAAGGTCTGCTCCAGTTGTCCATGCAACATTATAAACAGATATAAAAAATAATTGGTTTTAAACATTACTCAAAATAGAATAAAAAATCATATTTTTAATTATCATTAAACATTTAACCGTTTAATTTATTTGTAATTATTTGTGTAAATGACTATTTTAATTATCCTGGTATTTATATTGATAGTACACAAAATATATTTAAAATGTTAATCCAGGTGCAGAAACATAAACTTGTGTACCCTGTGAAACATTCAACCAATCAGAACAATAATATGCAAATATACTAAATCAATCAGAAAAAATATTCAATCAATCAGAAACAGATATGCAAATAATTCAAAACAATCAGATACAAATATGCAAAACATTGCTTAGCTTAGGTCAAGTGGTCAATGATTTTTTGCACTTACAATTGATATTAAAATTCAATGAAGATAAAGTGTTTAAAATTACAGTATTTTACTGATGATATATCAACTTACAAAAAATGCAACAATCTTCCCTGTGCGTGTCTTGCAAAATCAAAAGTTATCTCAGGCAGGTCATGGGTTAGGCAATCAACTTCTAGCCCTCTGTTTATTAACAGACAAGTACTAACAAAATGTACTCCCTGATATCTCCATCTACAATGGGGGTTGTCTGATCATATTCATATCATATGATCTTGATCAGATTTACTTCCGTAATTGATCACGCTCATGTTGTGACGTCATATGAAAAATGAATGGCGCCCCCGCTGTCTAGGCTTCTGCATATGCGCAGTGTTATGTACACTTGCTCATCATCAAGGTGGTTATTATTTTTACCAGTTTTATAGAGCTTCAGAATCGGTGGCTGGCTGCCGAGTAGGGCAGGAATTTTAACTGTGATTTATATATACTTGCCACTTCCACATCATGGTTCAAACGTACCAGTCCCCAGTAAGGGTTTATAAGTATCCATTTGAGGTTGTAATGGCTGTAAGTAAAGTTATTTTTATGTTTGTTTCCAACAGTAATACTGTCAAAACCGGCTAAGCTTAGGCCTATTTATGCTAGGTTAGGCTTGGCCCTGCATATTCCATCACCAACTAACCATCATCATGATCCAGACACATTTTCGCCCACAAGCAGACAGACAGCAGCTGTCGAATTAGGCTACACTGTATGTATGTAGGCCTAGTAGTAGTAGTAGTATTAAGCCTTCTACTAGTGATTGGCCGTCGATACTGTTTCACTTGGAATATGTCTAGCAATCTTATATTAGTTTTCTAAAAATGTATTGTTAATGTTATTTATTGCTAGGGGCCTAGGCCTAACCTAATGCCAATGGGAAGTGGATGTTATTACATCAATGTAAACAAATCAGTAGGCCTAAACGAGTATTTACGTGAAATAAATAACGCATGTGCAGTCATACTTTAATGAAATTGCATTAACAGTCACATAAATTTATTGATTCTGGTTAAATGTACATTCATTAACAAATGTGAGTTCAGTTTAGCTCAGTCAGCTAAAGGGTACATAGAAAAAATTACGCCATGGCTAGAGATACGGTACCGTATTTCTACTTCGTTTTGCTAAAGGTAGGGTAAATGGCATTATGTCACCATCACCCAATGAAATGCCAGAATGTGCGTGACGTCATTTTTTGAAGACTGGCATTGCATATCACCCGCAATGAGCGGTGGAAGGAGAACGATCATTGTACAGTACTGGGAAATTAGAACATCAAAAGTAAAATATTGTTTGACTTTACTGTCATTCTTAAGTAGGCGTATGGTTCCACTTTATAGTAAAA